TATATATATATATATATATATATATATATATATATATATATATATATCTTGACTAATATATACATAAATAATACTGTAAAGTCATATTAACGATTACAACTAAACGTAGTTTAAACTTTCAAGACCATCGCAGTTGTGAAGCACATGTTTATCATTCTTAAAAGACTTGAAAAATAGTATATAGACTTATTGTGAATGTATCAGTTTTAATTATTTATAAACAATAATAATTATTCATAATTATATGTATTAAAATTATTATGAATAGTTATAATGATAATTATATATTGTTCATAACAATAATTATTATTATTTATAAAGAATAATGATCATTTCATCATTAGTGTTATCTATTAGTTTAGTTTCCTGAACTGCTTGTGCATATATTAAACATTCAACGTTAATGTTATACATTTAACTGCATTAATACATTTTTTATTTATTACATTTTCCACGACAAAGTAGTATTTTTATATCATGTGTATGTATCAATCTTTCATAACTTCCAAATAAAAAAGCTATCAAAACACAGTTAACTGATCTATCGTCTCGAAAGAATAAAACAGAATGTTGATGAACGTTTATATGAGTTTCCAACATGAATTCTGTTTTGCGATTTGAATATTTATCAAAGTTACATTATGCTGGTGTACATTATTCAGCAAATACTTTATTTATATAAACTCTGCAAGCCCAGCTTACCATCGTCAAATGCACTTTTAGGTTTGTTTTATCCATGTACGAAATTGCTGCTTATATCCGTAATAGTACAAGAGTGTCAATAAATTATTAATAAGAAATATTAGAAAAATTTGTATTCCATCTATTCAATTTTTCAATTTATCTCCCAATCGGACAATTTTTTCTATCGTTTTAAAAATAACAATTGATACACATCATTTTAAATCGGCGCCACTTATTGCTTGATACATTTAGAGTGCGGCAACATTTAGTTTTTTCGGGTATATAATGGAAGGAAAGATACAATACTTTCCGTTATTATTTGACTCGTATTGGCAACTGTTCCGCGATTCAGACAAACAATTAGTTCGTGAGAATAATAAACTAACGAGAAAATAGGCCTATATTTAACACGTGTGACACTAAGTCGTAAATGGTAGACGGGATAATTTGGGCACAGGTTATCAAAATTGAGTTTTCTCATAATGGTAACTGTCATTGTCTCGATTCCGCGAACAAAACTATATATTCGTGTTATTTTATTATTCGTACTTACTTTTTAAGATCAATAACGCACGGATTAATTATCAATTGCAATATGATAACAGATAACTTTTTTTATAGAATTCATCGCGCAGTTTTTAGTTTAAGGATAACTGTGAAACGCTGTATGACAGCGCAAAAGTTGACATTGCAATAATTACAAGTTAATTACGACTGATCTTTTTGTTTTCGCGTTAGTTAGGCGTATGAACTTAATCTTTATACCATATACATATCGCATCGATCGTACATAAGTCGCATGAAGCGGCCCGTTTATTTATCCTAGTGCTGTGCTCATCCACTTACTCACATTTCCGTCGCCTGTCTTTGTCAATACGATGCGTGACGATGTTTAAGCATTTTTATATCCACTGTAAAATCACGTGTAGACTGCACCGTGCAATGGCATAATTTCTATATAATACAGGCAAAAAATTACTAATTATTAGTATTTATAAATGATATATTAACTGCCAACACGAGTCTCTGTGAATTGTTCAGTCGTATATTTCGCTGGATGCGTACGTTTCTTTCAATCTGCGAATATATTCGAGCTAGCGAACTTGATAGCCTGGAAAGTTATGCGTGTATTCCGCGTTTGTCTTTTTTTTTTCTTTTTTCATACACATATGCGCGCGGCAAAGTATGGGGTGCAATCCTGTATGTTCCTGTGTGTGTATATATAGCATGTATGAATGTGTGAGCTGCGTGGACGGCGCTACATATACCACTCTTCGGTCAGTCAACCACTGACAGACTAGCAGTTGACTATCGTCAATATTACTTGGACACCCGGCTGTTCCGCTGGGAGCTTTCAGTTCAACGTGCCTTGCTCACGTCAATATATACCGTTGTATTATCTGTAAGACACAAATAGTTTGCGATAAGTCAAATATCGTGCAGTTTTTAACCTTTTATTTAGTAATATTGCTCTAAAGCAACATCTGGTTATCTGTTCTGTTCGTCGGTATCTCAATAATCTCGATTTTTGCCATTAAATGACAAAAACCATTGAAAATATGTTTACAAAATATTTTGCAAATTTATTCTTTACTTCATTTAAATGTTCAAAAATTATTTTCTTTAAAATTTTTAGCTTTGCCAAATAAAGAGTTAAGAGACTATCTTTCATTTCAATATTGCGACATTCAAAAACTCGGCATACCTGCATACAAATGTGCTAGAGTTTGTCTTGAAATAGGAAGAGATTGTTCGTAGCAGCGACAGCTACCACATTTTCAGACGGATGCCATGCGGTATGAAGTATTTTCTTATTGAAGTCCAAACAGTCGACGCTAATTTCATCTTTTTTGCGTTTACCGCCGGTGCATACCTATTCAGTGTGGTCATAAGTTTTTGTCTCGAATCCAAATCAGAGAAATAATGAAAAAAGTATATTTTATACGTTAAATATGCTAACCTTTCTTGGCTTAAGGAGTGTTTTTGGTTTGGCAATGTCACGTGCTGCTTCCAAGGTGAGATCACGTTTGGTCGTACGATCAAATACTCTGAAGAAATTGTTGTACGAGCCCGTCATAATAGCAGAGTCATTACCACTCCAACAACATTCGAACTTGTCGAAGATACAGTCATTTTCGTACAATGAACATAATTTTGATCTTAAGTATTCGTGTACCTGTAGTAACAAAGGCATAACAATAAATATATAGTCTAAATGTAAATATATCTTCTACAATAAGATAAGCAAGCATTCCTCTAAACAAAGAAGTTAACTATTACAAAGGTAAAGTTTAGAGAGAAAGAGAAGGGGAGACAGAGAGAGAGAAGGGGAGAGGGAAAGGGAGAGGGAGAGAGAGGGAGAGAAAGAGTACGATTAATAAATCTTATTTCGTAAAAATAAGAGGAGAGGGGAAATCCCATTGAATATTGTAGACTTACAGGATAACATTCGATCGGCTTTGTTTCCATTTGCAAGTCCCATACTTTCACACTGAGGTAGTCTCTGCTGATCATATATCTCCCGGAATTACTGAGTTTTACATCACTTATACTTGAAATAATTTCTGAGAAAAAACTCCTATTAGTTGGATCCTCAGGTTCCTCGAAGAGTTTGCTATGCTGATCGCAAAGAGCGGCAGATCTCATATCGCAAAGTCTAATGGTTCCTTTGCTACTACTGTACACCAACACGTTGCATTCCGCGGGATGAAATTCCGCCGCAGTTATGACTTCTGTTAATTCTTCCATATTAGTTGGCTTAATGTCTACTATATCTGTATGTTGCGGTTAGAAAAATTATATTTGAAAAAATGTATCGATATTCTATCCTATCGCAAGTTAGATTGCAACGCCTATATGCGCACGTTAATAAAAGGATACTAAAACTCTGGTCTGTTATCTCAAGGTGCCAAAGATTAATTCTAAGATCATCAGCACTGAGGTATGTCTCTTGATCACTGTTGACACTTATACTGTTTATGTGATAGGTGTGCGCATTGGCAAATATTCTCCTTGGTGATGCCTCCACCATCAACTCCATTGGTTTTATGGTTGGCACCTGTATACCAAACACTTCATAGTTACCTTTCTGTATGTATAATTATCAATAGAGGTTCATATCATTACATAAGCAATAAAAACTAATAGATAGAAAGTATCAATTGTGTAAGAATTACACTGGTCAACTGATAACTTGTCACATGGAATTTCTGATGTGTTCTTTATATATTTTTATGCGTAAAATCCGAAAATAAATTCGCAAGTTTTCCATCACTCCATCAATTTTTTTATATTTAAGTATTACTATCAATATATTAAATATCTTCCACAAAAAGTTTCTTTACTTAAAAAATACATTTGTCTACAAAAATTTATTAAAATTAACAATTTCTTCTAAACGATTTTTTCTCTTCAATTAGGCATAAGATATGATAAAAATTAATAGATCTCTTATTTTAAAGAGGGATATACACCACCAGTCAAATACAATAGAAAATCATCAGTTTCTGCATTTTAAATTACCCACATATATATATATATATATATATATATATATATATATATATATATATACACATAACAAACTTAATTTTCTTGAAACTTAAATTACATCACTGGAAAATTCTAGATAATACAAGAAATTTGTTAACATTTTTAAATTTAGTGTATAAAATATTAAATAGATCACAATTAAATCCATATGACGAAAAGCAAATTTTTTTTGTACGTCAGTATTATTATAAACTTACGTTAGTACAATTAACTCAGGATACTTACCCTCAAGGCAGTGATGCAGGCAGGATCACGGATCGTACCATTTTCTTCTTTCGTATTATATCCTTCTACTCTTTTATCTCTCTCACTAACTTTCCATAACTTGATTGTTTTATCGTTCGTGGAGAGTAAAAAGTGGGCAGGATTTTTTCTCTTTAGCCACCTAATTTTATTAATTTTTTCTTCTATTTCTAGTGATTTTAGGTAATCGAACTCGGGCTCATGGCTCTGGAAGGTGCTATACACATTGTATTCACCTCTCCGTGGTATACTGTTTTTACTCTATATAAATAATAGTCTTATTTATAATTTATCCTGGTAATGGCTATTTCTAAAAATACCTTAACGATAATTGATTTAGCTAAAACAATCCAAGTATTACACTCAACAATTTGTAACTGCCTAATCTTGCTCTAACCACTCTGCCAGTGTCAACCTATAAGCTCGCAAATGGTAATATGTACCTGTATAATGGACTCAGTCAAGAGCTATTCTGACTGAATAGGAAATCAGATATAATACCAGAGTACTCGTTACGCAAGCCTTGAAAAGACGTGACACAAGTCATCACAATTAGCATCGATTTATAAATATCGGGCACAATAATGACTTGGATAGATCGAGTGAAATTAATCGAGTAAATATTATTTTCTTAAAGATAAAGAATGCGAAATAAAGACACGTTGCGATCAATATTTATGTATCGACGTTAAAATTATTAACGCCTGTGTGATATTTGGATTGTTTGGATATAATGCACACTAAACGAACAATATATCTAGCGATAATGTTAATGACATTCGTGTTTTTTAGTAAATTCCTCTCTATTCATCCATCTCTAAAATTCATTGTACTTACAATGGGGTCTCTTTGAAAAATGACGACACGTCCACCCTTGTCTCCTGTTGCAAGAAGATCGCCATCGTGGTTAAATTCAACGCATGAAATTATATCAGCTGCAATGAGAAAACGTAACGATCGAATATGGATACAGATTCCTAGTGCAACATATATGTATAATCAAAACTTACGATTTAATGAGCGTACCTTAATGAGCGATAAATATATAGAGAATTTATGAGTTTACGAGATAAATTTTGGATTTTATGAGATATTCGGAGTCTCGATTCGTAGCTAACTTATTGTTTTACTTTGATGCGTGCAAGCTGATAAGATAAAAGACAAACCATTTCTTCGAACTGAGCAAACACGGATCAAACTTACCTTCTGTGACGTCTTCTTCTAAGGTTCCCTTCACTTGAGAGAAACACCATTGTATGTCACCATTGCCTGTAACACAACATCGGATATCTTTAGAACGCAACGTTCCTTTTTCCTCTATTGAATTCGTCTAATGCATTCGGCAAGTGTTTATAAGGAGTACTTTGCAGTAAAAGGAAAAAAAAATTGCTCTGAAACCTTTAGTGTCGGTTTGGTCTTTATCGTTGGCATTCGCGATGTCAGCCGGTAGATAAAATCGTTTGTACTTTATACGCGCCTCAACTTGAAAAAAATCGTTATATAATTACATAATTATATAGGGTATGATTATATATTACAAGGTAGATCACCTAACATTAGATTTTAGAATATCCTGTTTTCTTGGATCAAGAGAAAATATATAAGAAGAATAAATTCTGTATAGTTGGAAAGAATTAAATATTTTGTGGTTGGCTGACCACAACAATTTATTTTTTCTCCCTACATACACACATCTTCTCTAAATCTAAAAAACAATCAAGATATCTTAGAATCTAGGTGATTCACCTTTTATATTTACTCATTTGTAAATTTTATCTCTATGTGGTTACACACAGTCATATATAATCACATATATCCAAAAATGTCACTGAACAAAAGAAGCAAATAGTTTTATTTAAGTGAACAATGACGTCATGGACCGTTAGAAGCATAAGTATTCATTTTGATTGTTCTTGTGAAACAGCATCTTTTTCATATAGAGCATTTTTGATCATAAAGAGAAAAATTCATATAAAATTATTCTTTATTAGGAAGAGACATTAACAGATAATGCAACAATATTAGCGACTAGCAAATTCTATGACTTGCACGTTATATAGGCAAACAATTAGAAGACAAAGGGGAAACAAAGACAAGACATAGGAGATCTTGCACGATTAATGACGCACACACAACACACACGTTGTTTAAACTTTTTTTTGTAATCTATGACCCTTTTATCTAAAAGTAGAAAAACTTTCAGCGAAGTTGTATTCGCACACAAACGACACAATGTATAGAACGTTTCGTACACGTAGACAGTTTGTTCAGACAATTCCAAACAAACGAGAAGTACAGAGAAAAATACAATTTGTTAGCGTTTAGATCGCACTTTGAGCGACCATTCAAACGCTTCTGGCGAATGACGTTAGACGATATTCCCCATATATATTTCGCGATACTTTATGATTCCCTCTTCATGAGTAACAGCAATCTGGATACTCGTGCTCATTATTTCGCAAAGCGAGTTAGGTGAAAACTGATCAAATTCACACGTGACCAGTGTCGCGAGCGCGACATGTCGAAGCGATGCAGAAAGAAGCGGCGCGAGAAAGTGATGATGATGGTGGTGGTGGTACGTACTCGTAATGGTAGGAAACAAGCACAAAAAATAATCGCTGCCTTAGCGCGGACCTGTGGCACCGGACACGGACAAACGCACCCATGATGTTTCCCGATGATGCTTTGTTAACGAAAAGAAAGTGATAGTAACGACAGATTGCGATCTGGAAATCAAATAATCGCAACACGCGAGAAAGAAAGAGAGAGAGAGAGAGAGAGATTTTTTTAGTATTCCTTGGAGTTGTTACGAGAAACATCGTGTCAGACCAAGCAGTCTAACGGCGATCCAGTGATGGGAAAACGGGGG